GTTCCACAACTTTCTACCCATAATAATATGGTTTCTTTTAATCTTTTCCAGTCTTGTAAAAGGAATGTCAAGGTTTTCTCTTTTCCTAGTGTCAAAGCAATGAAAATCACCCCTTAGAGCAAAGGTTTCATGCAACTTAAAACTAGATAACATACATGTTGCTCGTCTACACATAAAAAGGGGGCGGCGTATATACATAAAAAACTTAAGTTTGACACGTCGTTTGTAAAAATCCGTCAATTATTAACGGAGGAGTAGTGTTTCGTAGAAATTGCCTTCACGTATTATATATGTGGATTACTATACATAATACTAGAATATTATCTTATAATACAATGAAGAAGTCATGAACAGTGTTTTGTTTTTATGTATTAAATAAATAAATAAATACATTCATTGTTCCAGCTCTTTCGGTACATAGCTACCGAACTTCACAACAAATTTCATCAAATAAATAACAATGAAAAATAACAACAAATTAACCACAAAAGCAAATGAAGAAACGTAATAATTTAAATAACAAATAGCCATAAGTCAGAGGATAATTCTTTTATATTTGCCTAAAAAAAGCAAGACATATTTTTGAGGTGAGAGGGTAGGTCGTTGTACAGCTTGGGACCATCTTAAGCTTCTCCTTCCAAACTCAAGCCTCCCACTTGGAAAGTGAAGCAGGAGACTTCCATGGTGGGTTTGTGCTATCTCCTTCCAAAAAGAGAGCCAAAAATACTATGGCTCTTGTAAGTCAAGAGCCATGTGCTGAAGCTCAAGGATAAAGTAATTATGGATTCAGTCTCTCGTAGAATTGCTGTAAGTAATACTGTATCGGTAATAATACAAGTTTTGCCAAGAGCTACATACAGACTTATATAAGAATTCTTAGGGGTTGTTCTTCTAACAAAAATGCCCTTAAATGTTATAGTCTTTATTTCCATCCCATTTCTCAGACTAGGATCGCCAAACCCCACCAAAACCTCCAGAAACACCACATGTACATGACTTTACCACTGTTAACTAACGTTACATACTTAAATTCTGACAAAGTTGAGATTATATTGTTTACAAATCATCGTGGACATTTCCCATCTCTTATCACTTAACAAAGTGTCAAAACTGTTAACAAAGACACTGTTGAACAAGTTATCAATTCAAAATGTCCGCAATAACCCAAACATCATCACATTGTCTCAAACTCTAAACAGATATTGCCCTTAATTATTTCTTCTAGTCCTTTAAATACAATTAGACGTTCCATCGTAGTGTTGCCGGTTTCAAAATCAAAATGGATGTAGTTTAAGTGAGACACCGATGGATTTCTCTTTTGTAAAATATGGATTTCTGACGAGTATTCGTACTTTTTTACCAAGTCATCCATGACAGTACGACTTATTACCTATAGCATTTCAATCCATCAACCATCTTAGAAACAAAATATTGGGTTGAAACATTTTAGACACTAGCACAATCCGTTAACTGGCTCACAGAACTATGTCCTTTTTGATTAAATTTGGGACAGCTGGTCCGTTTAGGTGGGATGTCACTTTACTATCCAATACTCAACGCTTGTAATCACTGTCCCTGTATCCAGTAAAGCCTCGTTACAAGCCCTGTAATAGATCATACTCACCGTGATAAGCATCAGACATCGGTCGTCAGTCGCAGTTTTTGCGCTCGCTCTCCGGCGTCAGCTCGTCTGCCGTACAAGGACCTTCGCAGGAATGCGCAGCCGTGGTCTGCACGCGTGCGCAGACTGGTAACGTCTCAGCCACCTGCGTTTTATTATTCCCTGAAGAGTCCGATAAATCGCGACTCTCGCAGTTAGAGTTGTGATCGCGTAGCTCCCGAAGCTGAGGCGCCGCTAATGTTGACAGGTAAGATGATGAGTGTCCCAATTAGATGATTTCATGCTCAGTCGGTAATGGTGGTTTATGGGACGTGGTTGGTTTCTTTAATTAAAGAATCGGTACGTTTAATAAACAAGTAGTCGTGTAGCGTGTGCTCTTCGTTAGTTTCACATTTTTACTAGACCTCTTTATTCTATTAGTGGTTCGCTATTATCCAACCTTTCATATAACTACTTACGTTACTGTTATCGTAAACCTAAAAGTACTTGAATGACCTCACTTTAACAGTAAATCACATTTTTTATACATTAACCTACTATGAATTTGTATAGCATACCTTGTACAAATTAATGTTTAAGACTTATAATAAAGTTGAATCATCGAAAATGTTAATGGGTCCAAATGTGAGTATGAAATGTTTAAAACTAATGATGAGTAGAGATGAATAGGGCCAGCCTCTATAATAAAGAGGAGAACACGCGTTATTCTGTGGTTGGACTGCATGCTGGAGATTCTGCGAGAAAGACATGATTTCTTTATAGTAATGCTCCAAGAGGCTGTCGCATTTAGCCTCTTGCGAATAAATGCTAGGGCACTTGCATTCATCTTTTTTTATTGATAAACAGATATGTCATTAAAATGTTGTTTTTATTTCAGAAGTCACTTGGTCAAACTAATTTTACCATGCCTCTTCATAAATTTATAACAGTTCACCAATCATTAACGCTTGTTTAAACCATCTTTTCAGTTAACACCCTATGTTGAAGGCCACCATTACGCACAACAATAGACTAGCACGCATTACTGGCTTAAACCAATCTCTATAATTTGAGAGCCAACCAGCCCCAAGTAGCTGTAATTCTCGAACATACAAGCGAATGTCTCTCAGTTTTTCTCTTTACCGCCTCTGCCATCGTAAAGTTGGCGGGCGCTAGAAACAACAGATCGTAAACAGGACAACAAGTCTTGACGAGTAAACAGGGCGAGTTCACAATAACGCACATCAGTTAAACATACTAACAGGCTCATTAACGGTAATGGCTGGGTGGTCTAATGGGTAATCATTGCTTTTCAATTGGTTGTAATGGTTCAGAGCGGGTCTAATTTGCATGAGAATCCCAAATTCTCCTTATACAGAGGAGAAGAAGGCTTTCGACATCAATCAGTTTCAAACTGGCTCCTGGGACGCCGAGGCATCCGTTGCCCTGGTTACCGAACGCCGTCTTTCCCAAATTTATGAGTAGTCCTCAGAGTTTGTTATGGATTTCTTGCAATTTCTCTCATGGTTTATGCCTGCCTGGAAAATTTCTAGATTACCAATCTAAGGACATCCTTTTTTTGTAATTTTACTGCATATATTTAATGGGGCTCAATTTTTTTTTGTTGGGATTATGCAGCAACTAATGTTTATTGTATCAGTCCAGAATTACAGCATCAGAATATTGACTCACAATTTAATGATTCGCTGTCGTAAAATGAACTGACAGATTAGTCAAAACAACAACACAAACAATAATAAGGCTAAGTTTGGGTTTTAAAATTGAAACTAAAACATAACCTGCAATAACATAACCTGCTAAAACATAACCCTCTATACTAAAATATTCTTTTCTTTTGTACGAGCAGGACTGGTGTAGAATGGTTTTCAAGACATGTCTAAATTTAAAACATTTTATGTGGGTTTGATGCCGACAGGCAAGAAATTATACATATTCTCTCTTTTGGTACCGTATCCAACTCTGTTTTGAGTGGCAGTATACATATGCTTTAGAGATTATATTTAAATAATTGTGAACATCGGAGATCTTTTGAAGGAGTAACACGTTTTCTTCGACATACAATAGACTTGCCAAATCATACAAAAATGAAAAAGTGAGAATGTGAGACACAAAAATGGTCTGTTTACACCACAGACAAATGCAAATCAAGACTATCTTTATTTCATATTTTGCATTTCAATAAGACGACGGACTGTATAGCTTGGCTTGGATCGTGTTCAAATGTTGTTTCTCTACAAGAGTCTTCTATGATTAGAACGAGTACGAGGTTTGATTATGTTCGATTAGGTTCGATTTAATTTTGTTATTTTAAAAGAATATTGCACTAACTTCTGATGAAACGTGTTACAAATTCTAAATCAGGATGAACTGTACCTCGTCTACGTATATCCAACTAATACACCAGTTCGAGCATAAAGAGAAATCTTTTAAATTCAATAGCTCATACTCTACTATTCTCCAACCATTTGTGAAGTCATCATGCAGAAACAGAGTCCCATACAAGACAAGTTCAATTATTCCTTTTAAAAGAAGGAATGACGTTTAAGAGATATTCCACGACTCTGTATGTTTAACACGGGCGATTCCGAGTATTTCACAGTAGCTGTTTCACGAGATTGAAATTTCAGCCTCATTCCCGCTCGGAGTCGAGGTCAAATTGCTTCGTGATGTTAGAATCAAGCTGCCGCGGACTAAACTCTTAATCCGCCCCAAACTGATCAAAGTCGGTGTTCTGTCCTGAATTGTTTGACTTTGCTTCTCGTGTTGATTTTTACATCAGGCAACGTTCAGCGTTTTTTAAGAGGATAAGTCTATACAGAATAGTTATTATGAAAATCCAGTGTAAACACATAATTAATAATTTAATAAATAGTGTATATTACAAACACCATATTAAAACTTGGAAGTAAATAAAATAAAATAAATGTTCTATATTTTACTATACACATATGTATATCAGAAATGTTTGTTTGAACCTTTCCATAGTGCCTACTTTAGTAGGATCACAATTTTTTCAGTACTTTTATAATATATTGTAAAAGTTTCCAAAAGTAAGTATAAGCTTTTGAGAGTGATAAAAGTAACTCAACGGTTTCCATATGTTATCCAGACATAAACAGTTTGAATTTGTGTGTATTTCAATTTTCTTTTACACTCTATTACACAAACATGTTGGGAGACTAGCTTTAAAAACTAAAAACTCCAGTATAATGGGATAGTAGTCTATTAAATGTATTAAGTCCCCATTAGATTTTACTTAGGAAAAACTCCAAAAGAGGTATCCCATTATTGTCTATGAATGTTTACGAAACGTTAATACTTCGATCATACATCCAGTATTATTAGTTCCAATCTTCAAACCGAGCGTTTGTACGTTTGAAATATAGCAGAGCATGACGAATAACATCGATAGTGTTATAGAATTATAAATTATAGGTAATAACTATATTGAAGGGTTTCTACTCAAAGTCTCTTGTTGAGTCGTTCGTACTCGTAATACTCTGTGACGCTGTTCCTGATCAGGTTGTGCTTTAGACCATAGCAGATCAGCTCATTGAGTTGGTCTCTCATGCAAGGATGGACATCAGCTGTAAAACACCACAAGAATACTTAGTAAAAAGCGTGGCTTTGAAACCTTAAACCTTAAACTTTTAAGAAACATTTCAAAAATACGATGAGTTGGTGACAATAAATCTGCATGTTTTTCTTTAATAGAAATGTTAAGGATAGAAATACCACAACAATAATTAGGTTGTGTCAATATTGTAGTAGAAACAAAGACTTTTTTTGCGATATTGTAACAACAAGCTGTTTACGATTTAACTCTTCAGATAACATGTACATTAACAAGAGTGTTTTTGTGTTTTTTGGTTATACTGATCTCGTGTTGGTTTTAACGTATTTCACATAGTTTTAAATTCGTTTGATAATAATTAATTACTCACTCCCAAATCTTCCAATGAAAGCTACGTCGAGTGATTTGTAGTCCCATGGTTTATGGATGGGGTTTTTGGCGGGCCTTCTGTCCCAGCCTCTTCCTTCATACACCCTGCCACAGCCTCCGATCAGGAAACTGAACAAATATTCTGCCTAAATTTACTTTATTACTGTACCGTGGTTTCAACCATAGGAGTTTTTGTAATATGGTTGTTAAAAACCGTCATTTGCAAAAGAGGCTTCTACTTTGAGCTTTTGAGGTTCAACTTACGAGTTCTACTCTAAAATATTCTAAGTTTTCGTAAAAAAAAAATAATATTTGCCTGATACAACGTACGGCTTAAACGGTTTAAATCAAGAATATTTTCACGTCAATATTTTAAAAATCCAAAATGTTTTGAAGAGCCAAAATTACACAATACATATTGATCTCATGTGTTGATATTTATAAATTCTTCTTCCCACAAATGCTGTACAAAAATACTACAAAATAGCTGGATTACGGCTTAACTATAGGTGATGGATGGATTAGTTCATGCTGAACAAAATGAGCTAACACTTTGACTAAATTATCAATGTAATTCCCACGTAATACCAAATTACTAAGGTAAATCTTTTTTATTTACATGTTCTACAAACTCTTCTTAAATCATCTTTTGGCATTAAAATAACAAAAAGTATTGAGGCTAACTAAACACACATTTACTCAAGTTGGGATGTGTCTAAGCTGCTAATTCATTACAGGTTACCCACTTCCACTGTATATCTCGTAGCCCAGATCGCAACTGGTGTTTCTGTAGTCTCCAGACGATCTTCATACACGCACTGTTGGACAGACAAGTGTAGGTGTTTGTAGGCATCACCAACACTGCCTTCACAGGGATGGGTTGAAATTGCCAGCTCCTGGGCACGACGGCGTTCCAGCGATCTCTACGAATCATCCTCAGTGGCTGGTCAGGTCCCACTACCTAACAACATGGCTCAGTAAGTGTCTGCAGTAATGTAAATGTGTTTTAGATATCAACACCACAGCCTTCACACGGATGCGCTGGAACCGCTACTCCTGGACATGACGGTGTTTCAGCAATATCTATGAACCATCCGCAGTGGCTGGTCAGGTCCCACTACCTAACAACATGGCTCAGTTAATGCCTGCAGTAATGTAAATGTATTTTAGATATCGCCACCACAGCCTTCACACGGATGGGCTGGAACAGCTACTCCTGGACATGACGGTGTTTCAGCAATATCTATGAACCATCCTCAGTGGCTGGTCAGGTCCCACTACCTAACAACATGGCTCAGTTAATGCCTGCAGTAATGTAAATGTATTTTAGATATCACCACCACAGCCTTCACACGAATGCGCTGGAACCGCTACTCCTGGGCATGACGGTGTTTCAGCAATATCTATGACCATCCGCAGTGGCTGATCAGGTCCCACTACCTAACAACATGGCTCAGTTAATGCCTGCAGTAATGTAAATGTGTTTTAGATATCACCACCACAGCCTTCACATAAATGCGCTGGAATATAACATAACATAACATAACTCCTGGACATGACGGTGTTTCAGCAATATCTATGAACCATCCGCAGTGGCTGGTCAGGTCCCACTACCTAACAACATGGCTCAGTTAATGTCTGCAGTAATGTAAATGTGTTTTAGATATCGCCACCACAGCCTTCACACGGATGGGCTGGAACAGCTACTCCTGGACATGACGGTGTTTCAGCAATATCTATGAACCATCCGCAGTGGCTGGTCAGGTCCCACTACCTAACAACATGGCTCAGTTAATGTCTGCAGTAATGTAAATGTGTTTTAGATATCACCACCACAGCCTTCACACGGATGGGCTGGAACCGCTACTCCTGGACATGACGGTGTTTCAGCAATATCTATGAACCATCCGCAGTGGCTGGTCAGGTCCCACTACCTAACAACATGGCTCAGTTAATGTCTGCAGTAATGTAAATGTGTTTTAGATATCACCACCACAGCCTTCACACGGATGCGCTGAAACAGCTACTCCTGGACATGACGGTGTTTCAGCAATATCTATGAACCATCCGCAGTGGCTGATCAGGTCCCACTACCTAACAACATGGCTCAGTTAATGTCTGCAGTAATGTAAATGTATTTTATATATCACCACCACAGCCTCCACATGAATGCGCTGGAACCGCTACTCCTGGGCATTACGGTGTTTCAGCAATATCTATGAACCATCCGCAGTGGCTGATCAGGTCCCACTACCTAACAACATGGCTCAGTTAATGTCTGCAGTAATGTAAATGTGTTTTAGATATCACCACCACAGCCTTCACACGGATGCGCTGAAACAGCTACTCCTGGACATGACGGTGTTGGCTCAGTTCATGTCCACAGTAAAGTGAAGCTGTTTGTTAGCATTACCACCACCAGCACTGACATTTCCTCTAACAGTTACATTATCATGTATATTTTAAAAACATGTTTGTTTACTTACCGGGATAATTGTCCCATTGTCTATCCATCACGTCATTAATTGGATCGAAATCGTATTTGATCCTCTCATCTTCAGAAGGCCTCTTTACAATAGGGACGGCGTGAAGTCTATTGATCTTCACCATAGTTTAATGTTCTCGTTCGGGCTCAGTATAGAAAATTTATAACAACTTAGGTATTACAACTTATAATAGAGAATTCGAAACTAAAAATAAAATAGTTTTGTATGATTAATGCTCGTGTGTAAAGAGATGATAGATAAGCAAGGCTCTAAATCAAACTAGTATTATCCAAACACACACATTTGTAGTAGAAGGGTTCACTACATATTGTTTTTTACCTATTATGATCATTCGATGAATGGAGAAAGTAAAATTTTATTTACGTGTTCAGTATTGAACAAATGGGAAAAGGACCAAGGTATGTTTACTGTCAATTAGTGTCTTTTTTAATCCAATTTCATTGTTTCAGCTAGCAACACAACTTTGTTGTGTATTTCAGGCTGAATATTAATTAAATGCTAGTGAAGAGTAGAGTGAGCGGATATCTTAGTAAAAAAATTTCACTTTTTGCTACATGGTTTTGGGTCATTATTTATTTTTTGAGGTTTCTGTGTGAGAGAAAATATTCATAAATAATTCACCACAAGACTCGCTGCAATGCACGTATTTATGAAAACTGCATCAATTTATTGCTCAAATAGTTTCGCAATCGGCGCGCCAAGCAGCCATGTAAATTAACGCAACGCGGATCGCAGACAGGTACAATGACAAACTCTGCACTTCGCTGCGCAACCAGTAGTAGTGCAGTCCTGATATATGCCGAAGCTGGACATTGACTGTAGATATGTTTGGACCGCGAGACACCAGCTGTTAGAGAACATGATGCAAATTGCACCCAAGGAACACCCAGGTACGTGGAAAGCTGTGGAGAAGCGATCCTAGCACCTACTTGACAAATAGTGACACAGATATTTCGTGTGCATTTTAAACGTTTGTAACATTGAAATACATTTTAAAGATTTTTAAAAAGTTTGATTCAGTGGGGAAAATAGTCAAACTCATGTAAAAATGAGGGTACAGGATGTAATTGCGTCTCATTATTATCACATCATGGAATCTCAACTCCTAGACCTATACAGTATAACTGTGATAAATAATAAAGATAATCGTGCCTTCTTGACCATGTATTGTGAAATTTAAACTTGAAATGCAGTGTAACCTGTTTATTTTTGTACTTTGAAATAATCTAATAGGCTAGTCTCTCATACAAATCAATGTTTCGTTATTTTGAGACAGGGGCACGATGATACGTACTAGGTACGTTTTTTAAGTAAGGGCCGTTTTTAAATTTCTTCGTTCCAGCACTGCGATTGGCATTTTCGACATTTGCGCTGTGTATGTGCATCTATTGGTAAGACATAGCCAGAAATTAGAGAAAAATCGGCCGTGTTTACATCCGGTTTCAAGCATTCAAAATGGTGCCGCCAATTGAGACTGCCGCCGACTGTGAAGTGAGCGCTGTAATTAGATTTTTAAGAGCTAAAGGTGTGAAAGCTATTGAATATCATCGGCAGATTAGTAAAGTGTATGGCGAGAACATTATGAGTGACGGAATGGTACGCAAGTAGGTAAGGGCATTTTAATACGGCCCCACCAACGTTCATGATGAGCAAAGGACTGGTTGTCATCATGGGTACGGGGACAGTAATGACGCCGCCCAGTGCGTTACTCATCATGAACGTTCGTGGTACCGTATTTCAATTCCCATATCCACTTGCATACAATTATGACACTCATAATGTTCTCGCCATACACTTCACTAATCTGTCGATGATTTTTAATGGCTTTCACACCTTAAGCTCTTAAAAATCTAATTACAGCGCGCACTTCACAGTCGGCGGCAGTCTCAATTGGCGGCACCATTTTAAATGCTTGAAACCGGATGTAAACACGGCCGATTTTTCTCGAATTTCCAGGTATGTCTTACCAATAGATGCACATACACAGCGCAAATGTCGAAAATGCCAATCGCAGTGCTGGAACGAAGAAATTTAAAAACGGCCCTTACTTAAAAAACGTACCTAGCATGTAACCTGAATGTGTGTAAAAGATTATTGTAGAAAGAAATTAGATGAATTGTTATCATTATAATTTAAGATGGGGACGCCACCTAGATGCGTGTTTGAACCCAAATATGAGCGAAGGATGAGTGTAGAATTGAGTGTGATGCCTTGTTTCTTTGCAAGTACAGTTAAAAATCCCCAATGAATGATTATAGACGGTTTGGTCCATTTTTACACCATTAAAAAGTTCCTGGTTTTCTGAATATTTATCTGTGAACATAATAACAAGGTGTACTTTATCACATGTACCAAACTGTAAAATTGAATACCTAACGTGTAATAATAACCATTTAACGTTAACCAACGATTTATTTCATTACACTACTTACTGGGCAATCAATCATCAAACATCCACGTTACAATGGAAACCCAGCAATGCACCCATACAACTTGTCGTGAAAACCTGTAATATTAATTACACATTTTCACCGTAAATCCCACAAATTGTCAACGTTAGCTTATAGGTGAGTACTAATAGAATTTACACCAAATTTATTCCGTATTTACTCATATTCACACAATCATAAATAACGAAAGCCGGCACTTCCCCGTTGACAACGGATCGTGTCGGACCTTCATCAGACTATATTTCATCCTCGCTCTTTAACCTTTTTCAAAAGTGGCGATGCGTTGCGGACCCTTTATCTACCGGTGGTCATTAGATATGACCCCGCATCCTCAGGTATGTGCCTGTGACGTGCTGGTGATGTGATAAGGACCTCCTGTGCTGCTATTGCTATCAGCCAGTCCGTAAAACACAACAATATGGTATTCGAAGACATTTTAAAAATAAATTATGTAGGCTAATCTACATTTGAATCTTTTCATTTTTACATGGTTTTATTTTATTTTCAGATGGCTTTTTCCTATAGTTTCCGTGCCATGATTAGCGAGTTGCTTTGTTTTATAGCACAAATGGTTTTTGCACACATTAATTCAGCTTAAATTAACTAAGTGGAAATGCAGAGGTTAAATAAGTTGTTATAATATATCTTTTTACAGGGATACACCATCAGCTACCACAAATTTATTGACATTGCAATACATTTACTACAACCATGTATCGTACCGATAACATGTTCTTAGAATGTATTTATTTATTTATAAACGGTTGCACCATTTTTACAGAAAAATACAATTATTATAATTATAATATGTTTTGGCTTACTTAAACGTTGTAAGGAATTTTGCCTACTTACAGGATAATCCCACAGAGATGTAATACAAATTTCCAACCAAGGTGAAATAAATTAACAAATTTATAAGAAACAAGTTATCTTTTAAAGTTAAAACTCTTTACTAACTATCATTCTCTAACTATTTCTCTAACTATCATTGGACAATCCTTCTGAATAAAGGACAATTCATTGAAAAATCCCTCAGAGGGTTTCTAAATACACCACAGAGGGGGGTTTTAACCATCTATTCAACTATGTGAGCGCCATATAAGTAGAGGTTTCAGTCGATGTAATCGAAGGAAATTTTAATCCGTCTTTCATCAAATATGGATAACAAGGAGAAGTTGCATGATACGTGCTTGTCAGTTGGAGATTTACTCGTCCCACTTCGCCGCGATAGATAAGGAAGGTAAACTCTATGTATTATTCACCAGAGGGCCCTGGCTAGAGGGAGTGTCTATATCATTGTCCAGAGAGAGCTTTTGTGAGAGAGGGTAGAGTGAGAGCGAGTGGGAGACCAGATCGGTTTAGGAGAACCATTGAGTGATGTGTGGCAAGTGTAGAATGATGTATTTGCGGTTTCTTTCAGACTGATAAATCGATCACTGTATATCCTCACCGCTACAGACGTATGGCTATACTTCTTTTCACACTTGTTTATTTTGCAGTTTTTGATCCAAACAGAAAGCAGTATATTGTAAACATTACACTTAATTTGTATTAAATTAACTGTTATTTGTTCGAGTGAGCCACCCGCAGAACTTAAGCCATTAGTATGAGAACTCTTATCACACACAGGCAGAAGCCCATATGAGAATTTCTCTATTTGTATAATTTAATTAAGTTCCTATAAAGATTGATATCATATTTTTTTGTTTTTATTTTAATCTCAAAACTAAAACGTTTATAACAATATATAACGTTTACTAGTGGCTTGTAGGGGCAATAGCCCCTATTATTCTAGTTAGTATTTTGTACAAATTATTAGTCTCATGGGTTATCCTCTACTTTGAATTATTGTTTAACATTTTTATTTGTTATAACATGTATGATAGTTAGTCATTACATAGCTGCATAAAGCATTTTGTTGTCTGCTCTGTTTAAAAAAAATCCAAAGGACTGTTCATGCAGTGTGTTTATAATATAAACTTTCTAATCATAATACAACTAAGGAACATGTTCAATAGTAATTTTCATGACTATTAATTAAATATATATAAATGTCTTTGAATATATACAAATTCACTTCGAAAAAACACATAGAGGTAATGTCATCCTCCAAATTGTAAAATGCAAAATCACCCGGCTAAAAGTAACATAAAGTTGACCACTGGGTAAACACTGTTTTTTTTTATATATAATTGCCAACTTTTGTGAAGGTTTGTCCTTGCGCTTTATTTATAGAAACAGCGATTTTTTAAGAGAAAATTTAAACTCGAATTGGTTGATATTAGTTTTATTTTTGGCATGAAAAATATGTTCCCTTTGCCTACTCCAGTAATTCCTTCTAACTTGACACTATTTTCGGACATGGCTAACACAACCAATCGTACTCCATTAACTAATTTAGACCCTTAAAATTGGGAATAAGTATATTTAAGCTTTATAATAGTATACACAGTAAAAAAACAATAACAATCAAATCAAAACAAATACATACTAATTTGACAGTTACAATCAGGTGATCTTTTGTTTGCAATCCGAGTGACGTCAGAATATGACGGGAATAGCACACCTATGTTTTTTCCTTCCACCATGCACAGTACATAATACAAATTACCATATGCTGTAAATAAAGTTAAACCACATGTTTTAAAGTAAA